GTTGTTGATGTGTATTTACATTGGGACTATTTACATCTAGGACTACGGGTGTGGGATTCCGGTAGATCCCCCTACACAATTATATGGAACTACGGGAATGCACCCGATAGATTCTCCCAGTACAGGGTATTTACATTTGGGACTACGGAACGGGATTTTGGTAGATCCCTGCGCACTATGAGTTGGACTACGGGACGGGATCCCGGGAGATCCATTGGATATGTATATTTGGGACTACAGGACGGTATCCTGAGAGATCTCCGATTGTTATTTTTGGTACTGAGTGGTATTTCTCTCTATGTACTTTGCCTCTGTAGTAGTTGTTGCTGTCATTTTTATCATGTGTTGCTTTTATTGTTGTACTTATTTATATTGTTCTGTTCTACACTGTCGAACCTTATATTTTTATTTAACCTCAGTAGGGCCCTGACCTTCCTCGCTACTACCCGACCGAGGTTAGGCTTGGCACTTACTAAGTACCACTGTGGTGTACTTATGCCCTTTCTGCGCATATTTTTCATGTGCAAATCTAGGTACTTCGAATCGGACTTACCATCCTTTAGGCGAGGCGAACCTTCTGAGACTTTGAGGTATATATGTCGCGTCTGCAGACCGAGGAGTCTCTCTCCATTCTCCTTTGTAGTTACAGCCTTATGTATTTACTTTGTTTAGACTATTCTGGAGTTAGAGAACTATGTAGTATCCTTAGCTTGTGATACATGGGTTTCCGGATTTTGGGCATATGTACTAGCTTTTGAGAGTTAAATATTGTGTATGCAGAGCGGCACTTTTAAACGTTATTTTATTACTCTATTTCTATTTTAAATTATTTTCTTCCGCGAATTTATTTATCTTTCGCATTTTAGGCTTACCTAGTCGTAGAGACTAGGTGGTGTCATGATCGTTCACGGAGGGCGCCCAATGTGCTATGACTATCTCAGAATATGCAGTTTGTTACACTAGTTTGCCTAGGCATGCACCAGCTTTGGTTTCTACTGTTCGCGAGAGGGTTCGCTAGTTTATTGAGGGCCTTATTCCCAGCATCAGATCTAACATGGCTCGTGAGTTGGAGATGGATATTTCTTATCAACAGGTGGAGAGTATTTCTAGGAGGATTGAGGGTATGCATGCTAGGGATAGAGAGGAGAGGGAGGCCAAGAGGTCTCGAGAGTCGGGCCATTATTCTGGAGCCCGTTCCCCAGCTGCAGGTCATCATGGTAGGGGTTATATGAGTCGCCCTGTTCATTTAGCTCTTCCTGCAGCCAGTGGTATTCCAGCTCCTCCTAGGCCTCCGGAGCCTTATTATACACCTCTGGTATCTAGTCGCCTCATATGCGGGGTGCTTTCAGAGGTTAGTCCAGCAGACCTGGCCCGAGCCAGTCACAGCCACCACGTCCTCCCAAAGCTTTTTTGAGTGTGGTAACACACACCATATGGTGAGGAATTTCCCTAGACTTGGGAGGGGTGCACCTCTACAGACTTCTCAGCCACAACGTGCCCCACTGAGTTCTCAGGCTATGGTTACAACTCCAGTTGCTACCCCACCTGCTCAGCCAGCTAGAGGTAGAGGTCAGGGAGGTAGAGGTTGCCCTAGAGGGGGAGGCCAGGCCCGATACTATGCCCTTCCTGCCCATACCGAGGCAGTTGCCTCCGATTCTTTCATCCCAGGTATTATACTAGTTTGTCACAGAGGTGCATCAGTTCTATTCGATCCAGTCTCTACTTACTCTTATGTGTGTTCTTATTTTGCTCCACATTTGGGTGTACCTCGGGATTCTTTGAGTTCCCTTGTTTATGGTTCTACTCTTGTGGGAGATTCTCTTGTTGTGGACCGCATTTATCGGTCGTGTTTGGTTGCTCTTAGTGGTTTTGAGACCAGAGCCGATTTATTGTTGCTCAGCATGGTAGATTTTGATATCATCTTGGGCATGGACTGGTTGTCGCCCCATTATACTATTCTTGATGGTCACGCCAAAACTGTGACGCTGGCTATGCCAAGTGTACCACATGTAAAGTGGAGGGGTACTTTAGATCACACTCATAATAGAGTTATTTCTTTTCTTAAAGCTCAGCGTGTGGTTGAGAAGGGGTGTGACACGTATTTAGCTTATGTAAGGGATGTCAGTATTCATACCCCTTGAGTTGATTCAGTTCCAGTAGTACAGGATTTTCCCGATGTGTTTCTAGCTGATCTTCCGGGCATGCCACCTGATAGAGATATTAATTTTGGCATTGATTTGTTGTCGGGCACTCAGCCCATTTCTATTCCTCCGTATCGTATGGCTCCTCCTAGGTATTTACATTTGGAACTACGGAACGGGATTCCGATAGATCCCCACGCACTATATGTTGGACTACCGGATGGGATCCCGGGAGATCTATTGGTTATGTATATTTGGGACTACAGGACGGTATCCTGGGAGATCCCCGATTGTTATTCTTGGTAGTGAGCCATATTTCTCTCTATGTATTTTGCCTATATAGTAGGTGTTGTTGTCCTTTATATCCTGTGTTGCTTTTACTGCATTGTCGAACCTTATATTTTTATTTAACCTCAGTAGGGCCCTGACCTTCCTCGTCACTACCCGACCGAGGTTACGCTTGGCACTCACTGAGTATCGCTGTGGTGTACTCATGCCCTTTCTACGCATGTTTTTCATGTGCAGATCTAGGTACTTCGACTCAGACTTACCATCCTTGAGGCGAGGCAACCCTTCGAAGACTTTGAGATATATTTGTCGCGTCCGCAGACTGAGGAGTCTCTCTCCATTCTCCCTTGTAGTTACAGCCCTTCTGTATTTACTTTGTTTTAGACTATTCTGGAGTTAGAGCACTATGTAGTATCCTTATCTTGTGATTCATGGGTTTCCGAGTTTTGAGCATATGTACTAGCTTTTGAGAGTTAAATATTGTATATGTTGAGCGGCACTTTTAAATTTTGTTTTATTACTCTATTTCTATTTTAAATTATTTTCTTCCGCGAATTTGTTTATCTTCCTCATTTTAGGTTTACCTAGTTGTAGAGACTAGGTGCCGTCATGATGGTTCACGGAGGGCGAACCGGGGTCATGACACCAGGTGACCCCGACACACAACCATATCATCCTAAGACCTATAAGCCAATTTAATCCTTTCTCATGCGCCCAATAGTATCTCAAATTGAAATGTCCACTCTGAAGAGAATTTATATGAATTTGAAGTTATATATTTTATATCTCTAATACAGCAATGTAGAATCAATAATGATACACAAATACTACAACTCTCGGGCACAATCCAATGCAAATCTCAAATCTTTAGCCACACAATAAAATTAAATAAATCCTTAAGTACCACCTCCTAGAAATTAAACCCACTAGAACCTTTCTTGAGAGTCATCCACTCAGCTCTAATCTCCCATGTAGCCAATAAATGTTGAATGGCTTGTGCTCCATTAGCATAAAAATAATTTAAGAAGCAGCCTCATTCTTAAGCAATCGAGTGAATCCTTTCTCTTTAAACAGTACATCCACAATGAATAACAAACCTAACTCATCCAAAAATTTTCATATACCCATAGATCATAGTACATCATACATCCAACAAATTCCTTGATCGAATCATCCTCGAAATCATCATATTCAAGTTATAATTGGTCCACAAATTTTCCCTAATCCAGAAAATTACAACATGTGCCCAAATGAACCATATCGTTGTTTTAGACTCTCTCACTTGGCTCGAAGCCACAAAACACATCATCTGATATTCCGCAATTATCTTCTTTCTTAAGTACCACAATCTTGCATTGTTACTCAACTGAATCTCCTCATAAGCTCATGCAACACTAGTCATCATACCTCCCAAAACATCCATTGAGTTCATACCCATCCTCGTGACACTCGTGTGAACTTCCTCAAGCTATTTAAACTCTAATTGTAATACATGCATTCCACTAGATAGAAGGCAAACTCTTTATAGAAGCCTCATGAGAATCACACAACCTCAAATCTCGTCGCATGAGATAACCCACTTGTTAAGCCTCAAACTGACATCTTCCTATGACCCTACCATGGTCACAACCACTATGTAATCAATTAATCTTCCCGAGTCTACACTTATCAACAAGATATAATAATCAAATTTATTCCTCTAAAGAACAACCGAAAGATCCACCGAGACATCCACATCTTAAGACTATACCACACATTAAGATAAAAATCAAACATCCATAGCCCTTTGCATCCCAAGAAAATATTTCTCATTGTATCCAAACCATCTAAGCGTATCTCTCAGTCATATAATACTCATCACATAGCTATCTTGCCACTCATTGTGCCATCAATCCCACTCTTAGAGACACTACCGAGCATAAGAGTCCAAAGGAACATACTCATACAACTATCTACCAAGTCCAAGCTTTGGTCTAAACCTGGCCTCAAGTCCTCCAAACTGGCCTATCTTCACAATACAAAAACACTTCTCGCACCTCATCCACAACATCACAAGCCATTGGTACATAGATGATAATGAGTGATCAATATCACACATGACTGAATGAAAAACAATTGAAGATACAGGCTTCAAGCTGAACCAAGGTCGCATGATAATGGAAAGAAAGAAGGTGAAGGTTCCTAGATACCATGTAGCCTCTCGAAGATAAGTATGTATGTCATTATACCGATTCTCAAGACTCTACTAGACATTTGATCAAGACTCGTAAAACCTATTAGCCTAATGCTCTGATAACAACTTGTCATGATCTAAAACCCCACTTAATCGTGATGGTAACTAAGACAACCCATTAGGTAAGCTAAATAACAAATAACACAACTCAAATAAAATGTCATCAATAAACAATAAATAAGATAGCTGAAATTCCTACAACTATCCAAAGAATGGGTGGTATAAGTCATGAGCCACTAAGATTTAGATGAACAATGTCGGTATGAAGAAAATACAATATAAGTTTGAATATACATAAACATTAGTAAAAATTCTAAACTGCCATGAACAAGTGGTACCTTGTATATGGAACGCTAGTAAAACTTCAATGCTAGTCTTCTTCATCCACAGTAGCTCGACTCCAAGATCTACACGCAAGGTGCAAAAGTGTAGTATGAGTACAATCGATCTCATGTACTCAGTAAGTATAAAGACTAACTTTAATAAAGTAGTGGTGAGGTTTTCAAGTCATAAGATACTCACTTTACTTAACTTGTGCAGCTTAATAGCATAAACATATACACAACAACAATATAGAAATCTAAGCATGAATTATAGTTAAGCCCATCAGTGCACACAGAGAAGATACGTACAAGCATTACAAACTAACTAACACTCTAGCATATAGAGAGGATATGCACCTAGCACCAATAAATCATCAATAGATGCATATAGAGAAGATATGTATAAATGAACAAGCCCAGTTGCACAAGTTGACAAATAGAGAAGATATATGATGTAAATCAATTCTTCAACCAAAGCAACATATGGAGAGGATATGCATGACCTATCAAATAACCGCCAATAGTGGCATATAGAGGAGAATAGTTTCATATATAAGTAAAGCAGCGTATAGAAAGATATACAAAGATATGTATGAGTAAATAAGTCAATTACATGAATTAATATGCAAAGATATGTGCCGTAAACATTATATCAAGTAACGTAGCATATAAATATATGCACCAAAAGTATGTATACATCAAGGGCTAGCATATACAGAAGATATGCAGTAAATAATCATATATACATCCTAGGAGTTTGCATAGAGAGAAATGCACAAAATCCAACCACTGATCAGTTTTTCATAATCCGCATATACATTATCAAGGAGAAACATGAGACGACCCTAGGGGTACATATCCTTATCCATATGCCACATGAACAACCCACATTTCATATTATAACCACTGCATAGACAACTTATGTTCCATGATCCTGACAACCACACGGACAATTCATGTGCTATAATAACTTAACCTACACCGACCACTCACGTGCTATCAATGCAGTCCATCACTATAAAGCAATACAACTATATATGTATACAATAAACGGCTATAAAATCACATGATCATGGACTAAGAAAAGTAACATACTAAGGTGTATGTGCATGTGCAAAATGTACAACTACAAATCAGATTAGGCGAGTATGACATAATAATGAGTTTTACGTTCAAACAAGGAATCAAAACATATGCATGATTCAAGAGGTTATGTAGGCATATAGACATATAGAGCATGATAGCAGGAAGCACAGTATCCAAAATAAGGCATGATACAACCTTAAGACTTCTACAATCATGAATCATACATGGCACCAGTATATACACTTCTCACCTCACATATACATCTCTTCTCAAATATTTCAATTATACAAATAAGGTCATATCCTAAGGGTTATTCCCTCACAATAAGATTAGGCAAAATACTTACCTCATCTAGAACTCCATATTTGTGACCACAGGTTCACAATTACGGAGTTTGCAATAGTGGCCATAGGTTCGCAATTGCGACGAAGGTTCGCAATTGCAACTAGAAGTTCGCAAATACGGAGGTTGTAATTGCAATCAAATGTTCGCAATTGCAAAGTAGTAGCACCAACAATCCCAAACTCAACTGAAATGGTCCGAAACTACCCAGAATAACATTTGAGCCCCTAGAACCTCGTCCATTTATTCCAACAAGTCCATATGCCCTATTATAACTTTTCTAAAGTCTCAAAACATGAGTGACAATGTCAAAACCAATAATTGAAGATCGAATCTATCTCTTAACTTTCAAATATTCAAACTTCGTCGAATGCGTCTGAATCACACTTAGATGTTCTGAATAACAACCAAACTTTATGCACAAGTTCATATCAACTATTAGGAACTATCTAAGGTCTCAAAACTCAATAGGAGTTTTATTACACCAAAGTCAATTCCCGGTCAAACGTACAAACACTCCAATTCTTCAAATTGCTAACTTTTGACAAATAGATCCAAAGCCTTCCAGAAAAATATGAATTAAAATTCGAACATATGGTGAAGTCCAAAATTACCATATGAAATTATTGAAACCATCAAACCCTAATTCTGAGGTCATTTTCTCAAAAGTCAAATCTGATCAACTCTACCAACTTAAAGCTTTCAAATTGGAGGATCACTCTATCAAGTTAATTGTTACGACCCGGCCAGTCGTCTCATGAATTACCACTTTGTTTTCCCTATTTCTACTTCTTTACACTTCGTTATACGTGTTTTATGTGATCGAGTTGATTATTTTACGTTCGGAGTGGATTTGGTAAGAAATGAGGCACTTAGTCTCTTTTAAAAAGGTTTAAGTTGGAAAAGTCAACCGAATTTTGACTTATGTGTTAAAGGGCTCGGATATGAGTTCTGATGGTTCGGTTAGCTTCGGGAGGTAATTTATGACTTATGAGTGTGATCAGAATTGGTTTTGGAGGTCTGGAGTAGAATTAGGCTTGAATTGGCGAAGTTAGTATTTTGGCGATTTCCGGTTGGTTGGCGAGATTTTGATCCAAAAGTCAGAATGGAACTCCGAGAGTTGTTGTAGCTTCGATATATCATTTGGGATGTGTGTGCAAAATTTCAGGTCATCCGGATGTGGTTTGGTTGGGTTTTTGATCGAAAACGTATTTCGGAAGTTTTTAGAAAACTTAGGCTTGAATTCGATGTGAATTGATGGATTTGGCGTTGTTTGAGGTGTTTTGATGATTGGAACAAGTTTGAATGAGGTATTTGGTTGTGTTGGTGCTTTTGGTTGAGGTCCCGGGGGCATCGGGGTGATTTCAGATGGCTAACGGGAAGTTTTGGAACTTGAGTGATTGCAGTTTTTTCAACTGCTTCTGGTATTTTCGCACCTGCGGTTTGGGGACCGCAGGTACGGTATCGCAGATACGTTGATTCGATCGCAGAAGCGGAAAGGCTGAATAAGGCCTGGAACCGCAGATGCGGAAGAGGGACTGCACCTGCGGAGCCGCAGAAGCGGCGAGTGGACCGTAGATGCGGTGTTGGTCCGTTAAGTGAAATTCTGCAGATGTGAAGAAATGACCGCAGAAGCGGTACCGCAGAATCGGCTATTGGAGCGCAGATACGATTAGGTCTGCGCAGAAGGTATACATGTTTCTTCTTCGCGATTTTTGAAGGGTTTAACCATTTTTAACTTCGGCCTTAGAGTTTTTGGGCGATTTTGAAGAGAGATTTCAAGGGAAATTCGATAAGGTAAGGATTTTGGACTTAAAACACACTTCTATGGTGGTATTCCATGAATTAGGACTGAAATTTAAGGAATTAATGGACTAAAAATGGAGGTTTAGGGCTTGAGTTTAAGAGGGCTTAAATTAAGGATTTGAGGGGTCAATTGAACTCTGATTCTTATATTTTTTATATTTATGAACTCGTGGGGAGATAAGGAATCTAATGATGTGAAAATTTCTCAGTTTTGAAAAGTAGGCCCGAGGCTCGGGTTTTGCTAATTTTGGGATTTTTTGATATTTTTCTATTTTTTCGCTTGGGCTTTGTTCCCATAGCATATTGTGATGTATTCGTTCTGGTTTTGGTCAAATTCGACGCTCGAAGAGGCCAATTTGAGAGACAAGGGCATTGCGAGCTAGAGATTTAGCCGGTTTGAGGTGAGTAATGAATGTAAATGATGTCCTGAGGGTTTGAAACCCCGGATTTGCACATCGTAGTGCTATATTGAGGTGAGACACGCACTTGATGATGAGCGTGGGGTCGTTTACTATTGGGGATTGTGACTTGGTCCGTCCCGATTGATGATTTTACAGCGTATTTGATAGAAACGTATTTGTTATCATCATTATTTGGACTGATTGCCATATTTGGGCTTTGTGCCAACTATTTGAACCCTCCGGGGATTTTTATCACTCTTTCCTCACTGTTTTGACTTACTACTTGAACTCAGTCATACTGTTTTCCACTGTTTTTACAACTCAGCCACTTTTTACTCGATTTTGGAACTAAAATGATATTTTAAATGATGTTTTGGGCTGACGACTACTGTTTTACTAATGCCCGAGGGGCATATGTGATTTCTGGATTGAGTATGACCGAGGGCCAGATGTGAGGATACAATGATGCTGATATGAGGCCGAGGGCCCGAGATACATATATACGCCACGAGGTGGCTGATACTGATATGAGGTCGAGGGCCTAGATTTGATGCCACGAGATGGCTTGATATTGTGCTTGGGCCGTAAGGGGCCCCTCCCGTAGTCTGCACACCCCCAGTGAACGCGGGTACCCAGTTGTGATATGAGAGAGAGAGAGAGAGCCCGAGGGGCTGGTACTGTTTTACGTGTTGATTTTTCTTTAACTATCTGTCACTTAACTATTTATCTGTTGTAGGATTATCTCATTCCGCTTTTCATTGGTTTATTGCTTTTATACTACTTGTTTAACTTACTACTTGTTTAACTGTCGCATTATAGATTACCCTATGTATACATGATTTTTTACTCTCAGTCATTATTTATGCTTATTACTCACTAGGTCGGAGTACTCACATTACTCATTGCACCTTGCGTGCAGATCCTGGTGTTCCAGAGGCTGAGTGAGAGCTTTCCAGTCGATCAGCATTATCCGGGAGTATTGAGGTAGCTTCATGGCATCCGCAACCCTGATTTCTCCCTTCCTTTCTAATGTATTCTACATTCCTAGAATGTTTGTGTAGTAGGCTGTTGAATTTGTATTAGAGGCTCAAGACTTGTGACACCGGATCGGGGTGGGCTATGTAGTAGTATTATCTTTTGACTTCCGCATATTTAACTTGCTATTTCAGAACCTTATTATGTTAATTTGATAATTAAACTATGTTAGCTGATATTGGATTTTATAAGGAAATGGGTTGTAGTTGATAGTTGGTCAGACTTGCCTAGCAATGTGTTGGGCGCCATCACGACCGGGGTTGGGGTCGTGACAAGTTGGTATTAGAGCCTAGGTTACATAGGTCTCGCAAGCCAAGAGCCGATTTAGTAGAGTCTCGCGGATCGATACGGAGACGTCTGTATTTATCCTTGAGAGGCTGCAGAACCTTTAGGAAAAACTTCATATTCTTGAAA